TTCGTCACCATACTTCCACCACGAGGTAAAAAGTCACGACCGACAATATTTTCAAGTACAGAACTTTTGCCTGCTGATTGCGAACCAACAACTGCTATTTGAGGTAGTGTTAATGTTAATCGTGTATTGACTATGGTAAAGATTCGTTGTAATTCATTAATCATTGGAATTAACATTTTCATATTCGGATTTCCTGGTTGATTAGCCATGATTGTTTCTTCCAATAATTCTCAATCAGTGAATATTTCACTCTCAATGTGACGCTTATGAAATCAAAAACTATTCAACACAACTTCTGCGTTAGAAGAAGAAGAAGAAAAAAACATTCATACCGTTACATTCATCAAATGCATTACTTATCCGTCTTCTTTTATTTCTTTCGTTGATCATGCTTTTCGTTCTGCAAATTGTCATATGTGATTCATCCGTTCTCTTCTCATATGACTATTGCACTTTTCATCATTCTGAAATCGTCAAACAATTCGAATCAAAATACACATGTCAGCTTGAGAAAAAATACGAATCAACCGATAGCAACCTTTTCTTTTTTGTTGAAATAAAGCTTCACCGATCGTCAACAAAAAAGCATCATAGAACATACATAGTTTTCATCGTATATAATCGACTGAGACTTTCATCACCAAACTTGACTCCTATGCAAAGGAGTGTGATTCGTCAAGATCAAAATTCTGATTTTTGCGTGTTTCAATAAATGTGTACTGATATTTTATCTGTTGTGTTTTCTTTATTTTATGCTACTTCTTCTAGTATCTGTAACATTAAAGTAACAAGTGTTGAAGTTATAATTTGCGATAAATATTGGAAATGGACTAATGAGTTTTGAAGCACCGATTCGAAGAAATGACCTACTAAAATCAAAGATGTTGATATTCATTCTATTAGTTTCTATATATTTGATCCTAAGAAAAGATTATATTGATTTAATTACTCATGTCTCACGTTTGTTCGAACTACCGCCGGAATACTGGCAGTAGGTTACCGTTCAAAGATAGTCATCTGTTTAAGTATCCAACTACCACCCGTTGATTGCCGGTATAGTGCATATGCTATCGAACGGTCCACCAACGGTTTTTGTCTGATTCGAATCGCATGGGTATCTATTCATGTGAGAACAAGAATGATTTCATGTTAGGTGATGCCTATTGTAGAATAATACACTAAATAGGCGTAAACGTAGTGCCTATGTTCATGGTAGACTATTTTATTTAATTTTCAGGCGTTTGAAAAAAAGAAACTAGAATTTATTGGTGTTGAATTTTAATATTAGAAAGATCAATGAAGATTCAATTCTGATACGCTCAACATAATGAATCCATATAATAATGTTGATAAAAGCCATAATACTGATACTTTTCTCTTTCGAGGCAAAGGTCTAAAATCTAAATTTTGAAAATATGGCGTACAACTAAGCAACAAAAAAAAACCATACAACAGTGTTTTTGTGCTACATTATTGAATCTCAATAATTATTATTAAACTATGCTAAATGCTAATTTAAAACATATTACTTTCCGTTAAAAATGATGATATATCTAGTATTGCTTTCATTCTACGCCAACAGAATAAAATAGATGTTATAAAATTCTTTTTAATTTATTATTTTATATATACTCACTCAAAAATCTAATTAACTCATCGACAAGAGATATTTTCTACGAAAATAAAAGCTTTATAACATTTCAGAAATATAAAAACAAAACTTTTATTACGAGTCGATTTAATTTTGAGAACATAGGTCATCATCATTATCCTTTTTGAAAACTTTTTCTTTCTGTTTCAAGTAATGTCTTCTTCATAATTCGGATCAAAACATGTATAAAAACTCAGCAAACACTAATGTGAGAAGAACAGTTAAAAAAAAACTTAGAATTCTATGTAAAAGTGTATTTATTTTTCATGCCATGCAAGTAGAAAGACAAACAAATAAAAAAAACAATTGTCATACTCCATGCAATGAAGAAAAAGTTGTCATCTTTCTCAAAATTATTCGTTCATCTTTCACGACAAACGTACCAAACGTTGAATAGAAACAAAAAATAATACGGTAGTATTTCAAAGCAGAAAAAAAGATACTTGTATTGTGCGCGAAACTTAAAAACAACAGATGATGTGATTTATCTTACGTTCATTCTTTACACAATTGATTTCATGTTTCTAAGAAGATTTTCAGAGGTAATTACATCTTAAATAATCGATAAATCTCTTACGAATATCATATCAATTGAAATCATTGCCCAAAAAAAAAAAACTAATATATTGAAAGAGAAGAGCTTGTCACTAATATAAATAATCTCGCTCTAGATTAATTTATAAACAGAAAATAGTTGTTTTGTATGTCAATAGTTGATAGTCATCATTGTTCTTTCTATTCATGCAGTAAATCATTAGAATAATTAAGAAATTCATGTATTGTTCGATTAAATATGAATTATTCACCCTATGATCTATTGTAGTTTCAACGTGTTGTGCAATACTATGCGAACTCTTCTACAGAATGTTTTACGACTTTTATCAAAAAAAAAATAAAAGAAGAATAAATGTAATAGCGCAGTTTTGCTTTTCTTTCATGCCAATAAAAACGAAAAAACGTAGCCATTTTTTTTTCTCTTTTTACATGGGTAAAAAGAAGTAGAAATGAGAACGATGACATTGTGAGTAAATATTATTCACCAACGCTTTTAAAGAATTATTTTCATCTTCGGACAAATTTTTTCATAGAGTTTTCAATCGAAATAATAATTTACTCATACTTAATTATCATCTCATTCGCGTGATCTTTTATTAATGTTTACATTGAAAATACACACACAACTAAAATTCTCGCTCTCATTCAGGACAATGATTGCAAAATCGGTCGGAAAGATATAGGAAAAAGATAGTGTTCAACAGAAAATCAATGGGACTTAGACATATCATTCCAGACTGAGAAGTCTCTGAGTTTTCCCGACAGAAAAAAACCAGAAGTCGGACGGCTTTTCACCCGTGTGCTTTCACCCATAGATGCAACCGATCTAATTTTTTCAGACCGATACCAGTCCGACATTTTTAGACCGAACCGGGTCTATCGGTCAAAAACGTGATACTGGTGATGGGTGAGCCCATCATTGAATGCCGATCTACAGGCAACGGACCGAGCCGGAAAATGAAATCTCGTTTCATAGTGAACTGTTTTGAGTGAAATTGGTAGTTTGCCGCATACTGATATAATACTTCACTATTGATAACAATAGTTTCATTGAGAACGTTCTCTGAACTATATGTTAAAGTAATTGTTGCATGATCAGCGAGATTAGACTTGGTTCTACTTATTGTTTATATGGATACAATCATAGATCATGAAAATGGAAAATTTAAACTTGTATAGACCGGTACCAATTCCAGCTATGCTTTTCATCTGGGCATCTCCATGTTTTCTAGGCAACACTTATAAAAAAAATCTTTCGATCTCTGAAAGATGTCATTGACTGTATTTTCTATGGAATAAAATTTGTTTATTCACTATTGATGCACGAGCCTATAATTAACCGAATCTCATTGAAATTATTTGGAAACAATAATGAATTATACAAGTATTTACGCGAGTCTTGATTGAATATACAGTTCTGTCGCGCGTATTTTTTTTCTTGTCATTTTTGAAGTTTAATAATAGCAATAGAGAACAATTTTTCTCATGAAACACAAAAGATAATTTTAGATTTGCTATGCATAAAAAAAAGCTTTATTGTACTATCTGGTAAAAGACTTGATTTCTGCTACTTATATTCTTGCCAAATCTCAGATGACTATTGTTCCGCTAAGTATAAGTGATTATCTTAATCTGTTTCAAATCATTGTTGTTGCTTGGCGTATTTTGATTATGAATACTAAACTGACGCTAACAAGAGAAATATTTTAAAATAATTTCTTGGTTTTATTTTAGAAAATATAATTTTTTTTTTTTACTATTCATACTGTATTATTATTCGACATGACAGTCAATATACAAACTGCTGCACAGTTTTATATGCGAATTTCTGATGTTGTTGAAGAGTCGGATAGTTGGCGTCCGCCTACTGGAGGATATGAAAAAGACTCTCTCGTGAGACTTGAAGAAGCAGTGAAACCAGTTACTTCTCTGCTACCTAACATTCAACACTATGCAAATGTTGCTAAATAACGATACAAATCTGTACCTGCCAATGATCTTACATTCAATGGTATGAGAACCACACAAACAATGTTTATACTTCGCGCTGAAGATAGACAAAAATTGAAACCATGGTTTCTTTATTTGAAATTGATGCCTACTATACTATCTAAACTTCCATCAATCCATCAAACTGTATATCGAGGAGTAAAAATGGATTTAAGTTCACAATATCAACAAGGAGATATATTCGTTTGGTAGAGTTTTTCTCTATGCACATCAGATATGAAAATATTAGAAAATGAACAGTTTCTTGGTAAGACAGGTACAAGAACTATATTTAGTATCGATTGTGATCGCGGCAAAGATATTACACAACATTGTTATCATCAATATGAACAACAAATTCTTCTTTTTCCTACTCGAGACTTCAAAGTAGAAACTCTTAAGAAAGAATCATCTATAATCTTCACAAAATTTACTTGAAAGAAATTTCATCTCCTTTGTTTTTACTTTAGCCAGAGCGCATGTTTCGTCTTCCTCAAGTAACAAATTTGCTGGTAAGACAAAGAAAAACTCTCGATGAAATTTATTCTATATGGAACAACAATTAATAGATGAAATTGAACATTCACGATGGGTGTGGGTGTGGATGCGAACCTTCTCTTATCCTACGCCCACATCCCCAGGTTTTTCTGGTCACAAAACTACTATAAACTGACGAATTTCGGATTTCAGATGGTTTCTAATATTTGTATTTTTTTATTTATACGTATGCAGATAAAGTGATATCAGTCAGGAGCTGCGCACTTTTTCAGACTCAAACTCGGCTTCAAAGTTTTACTTTTTTTGTCGGGCTCTGTTACACATTTTTGTGGATGCGCTACTTTCTAGATGAGAAATACAACAACAAGATATAACTGCACGTTGAATTCTTTTTTCTGAGAGTAGTAAATAACATGTACACGAAGAGCCGTAGGTATTGATGGAAAGAACCTTGGGTTTGGATCTGACTGGGTCTAGGCCCGAATTTTTAATTTAGTTTTCGAGTACAGGTCTAAATTTTAAAGTTCTTCCGGGTTCGAGTTCACAAAAACGTAGATTTGCAGCTCCCAAGATATCACAGTTAAATACTTCTACTAACATTTGCCAAGCCAAAAGCATGTATCTCTCTCTATATAAACATTCGTTGGAATGTCAGTCCGAATGAAGACAGCAAAATCAAGAGCATTCGTTTTTTTTCTATGCAAAACATTTTTCCACTAATAAAACTACTAATTATCAATCCAATTGAAATTAAATATCCAAATTGAAAGTAGATCTTTTTCTTTTTTATTCTACAATTTTATAAACGACTAAATGATCTAAAATATTTTTAAAAAAAACATTGACATAACATAAACACAGATAGATTATTGATTTTAAATTTATTTCTAAGATGATTTCATTAAAAATTAAAAACAAAGGAATTTCAAAAAATATTATGAAAGAAAAAAAAATGCACTTTGAAGAATAAAATATATATCTTTTGTTTTGTGCAATATATGATTCTCTTAAGTCTAACTCATGAGCTATGACAGAGTATTTCACGACCAATTCCTTTTAAGATTAATTCTCGAAATTCATCAAAATTTAAATCATTTTCAACACTCGAATAAACTTGTTTTATATAATGTTCCAATGTATCACGTGTTGCTGATTCATTAATTACCGGTAAAAAAGCGCTTAATTCATCAACATGAACAGTACCAGAACGATCTCTATCTAAAATAGAAAATGCTTGTTCCAATTCATTTCTTTCATAAAATCCCATCATAAATGGACGTAAAACATTAACAAATTCATCAAATGGTAATGCATCGTCTACTTTACGAACTATACTATCATATAATTGGCGTGTAATATTTGCATTATATGTTCGACTGCGACGTTCTCTTTTGGTGGCTACACCACGTTGAACATTTTCTACTGTAATTTCTTCAAATTCATAATTAATTTCAATAACTGAACCACTAAGAGTTGTAATAGTTTCTGTTACTGTATATTCAAGATCCATTATTCACAAATTTGTCTGAAATTTAAACTCTAAAATTGATTTTGATAGACAATAAAAAAACTAAATTTTAGATTTATATATCGATTGGATTGATCAAACAGCATAAATTAAAAAAAAAAATATTCAATCTGTACAAAAATTTTTGTTTTAAATAAAAGAATTATACTCCAAAGAGATATGGCAATAAATATCTATTATTAATAATATTATATCTGAAAGAAAATTGCACATCAATGATTTTATCTCAGTTTATAAATTTCGAAATATTTAAAAACAAAATTTAACAACTTATCTTATGTCTCGCGGTTTACAAGCAAATAGAAATATATTTAAGCTGTATTTTATCACTTTTTTTTTCTTCATTACAACACTTTTTATATGGTATTTTTTCTATTTTCTTATCTTTGTTTGATGAAAAATTTACCATGTTTGTTGATAATTCTGATTTATTTCTATTCTTTTCTTCTACAGTAAAATATCAACTGATAATTTCATAATCATTAATTTAGAGAGAAAAAAAAAATAGAGTTCGAAATATCATATGCGTACTATTATATGTAGTACTCCCCACAGTAAGCATACATTCATATCTTCAAAGATTTTTTTTTCTTGTCCCAGTCAGCCTATATGACTAAAATGAAAATAGAAAGTCGTTTTTCACTTACAGTCTACACAGTAAGAAAGATAAGAGGCGTACTGATTGCTTTGTTCCTTTTTTACATTATCTACCACAAAAAAGGCGAGCAAAACTCTTGTCTTCATTTTATCTTACATGAAAAAAATAACAATCTAAACGTTTATTATCCTTGGGAAAAAAAGATTTTCATATTTTTGAATAATTCATTCGTAGAATTTTGTTCTGATAAAATATTTACGCACTTGTTATGTCTATGATGGATTCAAAAGCAATTATTCATTGACAATTAAAGAAATTTTAAATAAAAATCTATTTTGCATTTCTTCATTTTAATTATCGTTACCAACATACACAAAAATGAATGATTGCACATATCGTAACAGAATATCTCAATTTCAAATTGTTTGTAGCATCAATTATCACTCTTTCGAATCACAGTACATCCGCTAAGAATATACATGCAAAAATATTTCTGTGTAATAAAATCAATCAATTTTGTTTGTCAGATTCAAAGAGATGACAACACGAGTGAAACGATGATTCCATGCGAATACTCCGATATTGTAATTCATTTATATGATTTCACATTGCATACGAGAAATATTCATATGAATGTATTTCTGATATAGAAACAATGTACTGATACTGGTAAGTGTTGACTCAGAGATAGGGTTAAATAAGAAACAAATATATGAATATGTTAACTGCAACAAAAAAATTGCTGAAGATTCAGTCACGATATTTTTTCTTTTCGAATATTCCCAACGACTTTATTCCTTTGAATATGTTGAAATACATCATGGTGGCCTTGTCAATCATTTTAACTGGAAGGCCAGAATTTCGGTCCGAATCGAAATATCGTCGAAAATCCAGGCCAGGACGAAATTCATCTTACTGCTATTAATAAGAAATAGTCTAGTTCCAATAAATAGTTAGCACATTTTCGTAATACCGAGCAGAACGACATAGTGCTGAGCAGGACGTCGTAGTGATGAGTAGTCTACTTGGATTCATATTAGAAGTGTTGTAGTCTTAAGAGATAACTATTAGTTCTCCGCCACGAGTGTCAAAATAAAACGAAAAGTTGTATGCTGAACAGGATGCTATAACTACAATGTGATCTAGAATCACACTGTTATGTACTATGCTGTCCTGCTCTGCACTGGATCGTTCTGCTCGGCATTACGAAAATGTGCTAACTATTCATTAAAGCTAGACTATTTTTATGAATAGCAGTGAGATGAATTTCATGTTGGGCTGGACTTCCAGTGATATAGGTGTGGGTGTGAGTTCATCTTCTCTCAACCCACACCCACCCAAGATGATTACATGATGAAGTCGCATTAACTGGTTCGATATTAGGAGATTCAATAATACGACGTTGTTCTTTTGTATGTTCGAATGCGAATCCGAGTATATCGAATTCAAGTTGTTTAGGTTTCATCGATACTAAAATTGAATTGTATTGTTTTGTCTATCGATCTTTATAATTCTCAATAAGATATTGTTCGAAATCACTAAATAATATTTTGCTCTTCTTTGAATAACTTGAATGAAATATTCGGTTTGTTGGTAAGAATGGTATTTCTATATTGTGATCTGCGCGAATCTTATTCATTATTGATGTAATAGCATTAGATTCGTAAATATTATCTAATTTTTGTGCTAATTGGTCAAATTTCTTTTGGAATTTTTCATCTAAATTGCCAAAACGTTTATTAAAATCAAGTTTTACATCGTTCATCATTGATTGAACTGCCATTATTACTAGAAAATGATAAAAAGATGATTTATTCTTAATGAAGAACATTAATTACATGTTGTTGGTTCATTTCGGCTATCATTGGATGTCGAATCAATAAAAGATCTTTCTTCTTCATCAATACTTGAACGGTTTTGTGTCATTTGAGAATCATCAACTGATATTTCAATTGAGTGAATACTTTTTAAAGAATGAATATCATATGAATATGATTTATCATGTTGGTTAATCGAAGAATCAGCTGAAAAAGTCAATCGTGGTGAAACTTTTCTTTCTTCTTCAGATGTAATTCACTAAAAAAAAAAGACAAATTTTTAAATGTGATTTTCTTTAAAATTACAGATGAGACTTACTTGCATAAATTGTTGATTAAAAGAAGTTTGATTTTTATTGTTAGAATTTCTTTTCTTTCGTTTTTTCTTCTTTTGACCTGGATTTGTTGTTGATGAAATTGATGGTTGAATAGTTTCAACGATTGCTACAGGAAGACCAGATGAATTTTTTGACTAGAAATAAATCTTATCTTATTATAAAAGAAAAGAATATGTCGATTTACATTTGAACAAAGACCATCAATTTGCGTATCTAAATTGATCTTTTCTATATTTGACATTGATGATTGTTCTTGACCTGAACTAATGATTGATTCTGATGTAAATGTCTTGTTTGACATCGGTTCTTTCATCTAAAGATTGAATTTAAATGAAAATAGTCGAACAAAGAAAACTTGTTATGGAGGATATGAATACTTGTCTGGGAAAATTTTTTTTTGTAAATCTGTATCAAATGGACCTTTCGATTAGTGTTCGTTTTAATATTTTTCTTAATAAATCAAAGCGGATTATTATAGATGTCAGTCGACTATACTTGTTATGCATTAGTCTAGATTTTATTTATATTATATGAATTCAGTTTACGTGTCATTTGTCAAGCAATAGATTTTTCAAAATAAATACTTCTGCTGAATTCTGTGACACAATAAATTAAAGTGAATGAAGAATGTAGGGAAGATGTACATCAGAGATGTCCGTGGCGGCGCTGCCGCGGTGGCGGTAGCAGCAGCGGCAGCATTTTTTTTCTTTAGAGGACATTGAAAAACTGCATGAATTTAATAGAATTTCAGGGTTTACAAATGAAACACCCCAATACTCAATGAATCTGATGGACTAGTACAAATATTTCTGGTCAAATATACTCGCAGCAGTGAAATTAGAAACACTTTTTTAAAAACTGCCACGGCACGTTTATTTCACAATTCATCGTGACAGCGGCGCAGCAACGGCGCACCAACATTCTTTTATAAATTGTCATGGCGCAGCAGCGATGTGGCAGCTTTTCTTCTAAAGCTGCGCCGCGGTGGATATCTCTGATATACATATCCCTTCTCAGATTTTCAAAAATATGTGTAGTATAAAAAAGCAAAAAATCATATAAAAAAAGCATATGAACTTCAAAAGTCTTAAAATCATTGTTTCCTACATCTGAAAAAACTTATTGTTCCATACTAACATTAAAAAGTATTTCTCTTCCATGTCCAAGTCTAACAAATTGTTTAAATTGTTCATAATTTAAACTTTTATCATTAGCCATGTTTACACATTCAATAAAGTTTGATATTTTTTCTATTATTATTGATCTTTCTATAATCCAAATTAATCGATAGTATTCTCGTAATTCAATAGTATCATTTCGTTTTTGATCGTAGATATTAAATGCTCGATCAAATTCATGATTAGGACAACAATATTCTACATAAATACTCGTATTGAATTAGTATATTCTTCAAATTCTAGCGTTTTATGTGCACTATAACCATAACGTCGTACAATTGTTTTTATATAATGATCTTCGTTAACCATAAACTATAATTTCGTTCAATAAATGACTTAGATTTAAGGCCATCAATATATTTAAATTCAATTTAATCTAAAAGACCATCTCGTATGTAAACATGTTTTTACATAAAAACATATACAGTAAAACCTCTCTAATCTGAACACCTTCGGGACCAGTAAAAAGCGTTCATAATAAGAAGGTGTTCATAAAGGAGAGGTCTATTTCCAGCAAAAATCGATTTTTGGGACCGGCTAGAAGCGTTCGTAATAGCGAGGTGTTCATTAAGGAGGGGTGTTCACATATAGAGGTTTTCGGCTTGTCCGCGTAACGCGACACTTCAGACATTAAGTATTTAATTCAAGCTTCGAAATATTTGTTTATGTCAGGTTGTAGAGCAGGCTCGGAGGTGTACAAAAATGTATTTTGTTATTCAAAAAACTATTTCTGTGAGTCTGTTGAAACGTATACACTAAACATCAATTGTAGTATTGTCTATTGCACTTTTTTGTGTATTACTTTGGAACTAACCGTACATTTTAATGTCTGACTCTGAATCCCCGCTTTCAAATGTCTTGCAGACTATCAACTATAGCCTTTCTTTTGGCAAAACAATAGTCGTCTTTCCTTTTTCTCATATTGAGAAATTGGCAAAATAATACTTGATCAATATCGCCGTAACAGCGTTACGATAAGACCTTATTTTAGAATTATTGTAAGTTACGTACATAATACTGGTGTAAAAATGAATGGATTATTACTAACTTTTCATGGCGATTCTGATGTACTAGTTTTTTCTCAAAAATATCGTACTATGAGGTAGATAAACGTAACGCTGTTACGAAAACCTGATTATTTGCATTATTTTCAGTTTATATAATTCAGCAAATATTTCAATATTATATATTTGGAATGATCACTACGTAGAATATAGTCTTGATTTCGACCGTTGGTTTGCTTATATAAAGAGAAGTCTCTTTAAATAGTCTTAATTTCTATTTGTTCTCCGATATTTTTAGCTAAAGTTAATTATAATCATAACAATTGATATATATATTCGGACTTAAAGTCAAATTCTGCACTAAATGACCTTTCATATAGCTCTCGTAGGCAGATGATAGACGTTCAAAATAAGAAAATGATCGTTTTTATCATTTGACGGCAAAAAATATCTATATCGATCAAGTCGACACGCTTTCCTCCTTTATCGTGTAAAGACGTTAGATTATTTTTTTCTTTCTTGTCTCTCACAATTTTATCTTGTTTGATTACAGCGTATAAATAGACGAGGAGAGAAGAGAAGGATCAGTTCTATCTATTCAATAAAAAGAAGTCGTTATACAAAAAAACTACGTTAAAATTTTCTTTTCTGTTGTCATTATTTCAAATTATCAGTTACATTTATTTGATTAAGGTCAGTAATTGTTTTTTTTTGACTGTTGTGATTTTGACATGGCTATGACCAATGCTGAAAGAATGAAAAAATATCGAGAAAAAGTTAAAAAGGATAAAGTTAAATACGAGGCAATGAAGGCAAAAGCTCGTGCTCGTAATAATTCAATAAGAACAGTATTAAGAGGAGCAAGTTTAGCTAAATTTCGTGCTGAAAACAAAATGCGTCAACAAAAATTTCGAGAAAATAAAAAACAAAGTTTAATTGATAAACCTTTTCCGAGTTCTTTCAAGAGCCGGCAATCATTTGGTAAGGCTTTAAAAAAAGTAAATTCATCACTTCCTAAATGCGACTTAAAGAAAAAAGTTATCATTCAACATATTGCTCAAAGTGTTGGTTTAGTTCCTAAATCTACACATAAACGTACTACACTGCAACTTGCCGATAAATTAAAAAATGATGTACATAATTTCTACTTGCGAGATGATGTTTCATATCAATTGCCAGGTAAAAAGGATACAGTTGTTGTTAAAGAGGATGATGAAAGTAAAGTAACTTATCAAAAAAGGATTTTGTTTAATAATTTACGTGAAAATTATGAATTGTTCAAAGAAGAGAATAAAAATGTTTTATTAAGTCGTACGTCATTTGCCGAATTGAGACCACCATTTGTTGTTCCAAAAGCTGCTTTGGCTCATAGGAATTGTTTGTGTTTATATCATGAAAATATTTGTTTACTTTTGAAATCTATTGATAAATATGTTGATGGAAAATTCTGTTCATCTTTGCAAATTTTTACTGATAGTTTAGTTTGTAGTACAAATAATGAAGAATGTATGTTTAGTTCTTGCTCACTATGTGAAGATTTCTTTACAGAAAAAGTTGAGGAAAACGTTTCAGATGGTAATGCTAAAATTACTTGGTCACAATGGATAAATGAAAACGGTCGTGCCGAAAAAAAAGATTTTTCAGGAAGTGTTGATGAAGCAGTATTGTTGTTGAAGTCCAAAGTAGAATATTTTTTGTTTCATGTTTATATTAAGCGAGAGCAATCAAAGTGTTTTGAAAAATTGAAAGAGGAAGCTAGTGACGAAAAGATTGTATTGCAAGTTGATTTTGCCGAGAATTTTAATATGAAAGAACAAGATGAAATTCAGAAGGCTCATTGGAACTCAAAACCATTGAGTATATTTACTGCTTATGTTTGGTCAAAAAATGAAAATTTTGCTTTTGCTTTACCATCATCGGATATAACACATGATAAGTTTGTTGTTGATGCAGCTTTGGAAATCATTTTGAATCATATTGTAATAATTCTTCCAAATATTAAAGCAGTAGATTATTTTTCTGATGGTGCTGCTTCACAGTTTAAACAACGTTTTCATTTTCGTAATTTAGTACAGATAGCTAATGAACATAATATTGATTTGAGTTGGCACTTTTTTGCAACTTCTCATGGAAAAGGTGTGGTTGATGGTATTGGAGGAACTGTAAAACGTCTTGTCTGGTCAGCTATATTAGCAGGAGAAGTATGTCGATCAGCCGAAGATTTTATTAAAATTGCAAAGAAAAAAACTAAGAAAGTAATTCTCATTGAAATCACGAAAAACAATATTGATAACTCAAAAAATAAACTTGAAAGTATTTTCAAAACAGCAAAAAGTATTCCAGAAACACTCAAAATGCATTCAGTTAAAGTAGTTGATAACAATACATTAGAATTTCGTTATTATTCTTCATGTTTTCAAAAAAAAACTGTAAAATATTGAGTTGAAATTTTTATTTCTAGTACTTTTTTCAGATTTTATTTTTCTTTTAATGCGTGCGTTTAGATAAATAATGAAAGGTAGAAAGATATTCGCTTAATTAGAATTTTACTGATGTAGGCTAAAAAAATGAAAAATTTTCATATATAGAAATATTCAAAAAAAATTAAAAAAAAAACCCAGCTCAATGGAGACCGGGTCTTCGTCCCGAGCTGGATCAACACTATTGTTGTAGGTGGTACCCACATAAACTCTAGTGGCTAAGAGTCTCCGTATAAAGTTTAGAAACTATGACAGAAGTATGGTTTGCTGCAGCAGAAATTTTAAATTTGATCGAGGTCCAACAAAGTTGTTTGTATGGATCAGCGTGATCTTTAGTAGTAAAGGCAATAGAAACGGTTCTTTCGAAGTTAAAATAACTGATTGCGACAAATACATATCAAATAAAGAGCATATAGCAATTTACCAAAAAAAAGTGTAACAGCGTTACGAAAAACGTAACAGCGTTACGTTCGTTTTTTGATTTTTTTATGCGAGTAAAAGTAATTAGAAGGGAAATCTTTTTACTATTAAAAAGCCCGTTTGAAGCTCTATAAAAGTTATGCTGAGAGCATTTCATTTAGGCGGAAACATTCGCAGGAAATTAAGGTTTAAGCGCGAGCACTCCAAAGTGAGGGTCTTTTTATGTAACAGTGTTACGCGATAGAAAAATCTTTCTAGAAGTTCGAGAATTCAAGCAAAAATATTCATTTTTATAGCATAAATAGAGTAAGACGAGCTGCGTCGAATGGCGTTTGAATGATCTATTTAGCTCTCACCGTTTCCGAGATAATCGAAAAAAACTGTGTCAAAAACGTAACAGCGTTACGTTTGGACAAGCCGTTTTACTGTATGTCGTCTATTATTCTTGGTATCATAGTCATATTCTAATACAAACAAATGATCGAATTCTTTTTTTCTATATACATGATGTTGTATCTAGCTGAGAATATAATTAAATCAATAATTCTTTTAAAAATTTTTCTTAATTATGTGATAAGCAAAATGATTCGATACTTTCTATGAGTTTCTAGGAAACTATTTTCATTTTGAACATGTGCAGAAGCGAATCATACATAATGGACATAATGAAAAGGCCAAGTATACTTGAAGAAAATACCTTTCTTTCTAAGGAAATTATACAGTTTCTCGGACTCTATTTTTGATTTCCGGAAACTAGATGTGAAATCGTAAAAATATTATCTTTTCTCGAAAATTACTTTCGATTGCCGGAAATCGCTTTTGTACTTCAGAAAATAGTTTCTTGTACTGGAAACTGAATCATTTAGAGACATCCGTTTTATTTTGAAAATAAGCAAACTCTCAGATTCCAGAAAACTTATTTGCTTCTGTAACAACCGACTTTTCTCATTAAACATATGAACAATCTTTGAATTCTATTCATCAGCAGAATAGCTGTTACCATGCAGCCAGCAAGATGTCCAACCTAAAACAAGTTGAAAGCTGTGCATACTAGAGATGTTGGTGACAGGTTTTTTTGATCCGACTCGCGATCATGATCGGACTCGGCCCATCTCACAGGTTGAATAGTTTGTTTTTGATCTGCACTTCAATTCACAGATGGAACATCCATTAACTCATGACGAATTATTCTTTGGTTAGCCCGTGAGTTAACATCCAAAGGACGGAGACGTTTTGAGTCATTTTGGCCCAATTAAAAAGTAAAGATAGTTTCATGTGACACTTTCAGCAATTATAGAACTCAGAGTTAGTACTCACTCCTATAAATTTTAGCTTGATTGGTCAAACTATTGTCTTACTGTGTTATTCAGTCAAATAGACTTATTTGGCACTTTTATGAATGAAAGAATTATTCATTTTAGAAAGCCTATTTACATGGTTTTATAGTCAGTTCATATACTATTCGATAGAGAATTTAATTCTAAACAAAATTCTATTAATGTCTTTCAGGAAAAATCCAATATTAATTACAAAAAGTTTAGAATACCGCCGGCCTGAGGTCATATATAGGCTATGTCAGAATATTGCATACCTTCGTTCTCCACTATATGATTTAGAATCGAAGCCACTTTTTCAGCATCAATGACAATCATTTAGAGCTACAAACCTGCAAAGACAAGAATCTGCAGAAAAAGCTGTCGTCATCTTTATCGCATATGAAATAGCATTCAAAATGCACAAGACACTACATAGTAGTAAATATTTGTTATCTCTAATATCTAATACTTTATTCATGAGTTGATAGATTTTTTTACTCATGTTTGCAGCACTCTAAAAAAAAAGGTATTTTACCAAACTACAGAAGTTCCGTATTTTTGCACTGAACCATTTTAGGTTCAGTGGAATGAAAATGGTTTGTTAGTTATCATAGAAACCTTTTTTAAGTTCAGCAGATTAAATAGAATTTCGCAGTTTTCAAACGAAACCTTGTGAAAGTTTCGTAAATTAGTTTGTGGTTTCGCGTATCATGTACTAAACCTTTCATGGTTTTAAAAAATGACGGAAAGTATCATAATATATCGACAAAATCTTTCTCGGTTTCGTAGACTGCCTAACGGTTCCGTGTATTTTTCACGAAGCTGTTGATGGTTCCGTAGACTATCGAAAGGTTCTGCATATTATACACGAAATTGTTGATAGTTCCGTGGGCTGTCTAAAGGTTCTGCATATTTTATACAAAAACATTGATAGTTTCGTAGACTATTCTAAGGTTTCGTTGTTTTCGTCTAAACTCTTCCATTGTGTCTTTAAATGCAAATAAGTTCTGTGTACTTCATACGAAACTATGATGACTCCGCGCAGTGTTATAAGCTTGCAATTTTTTGCCTAACCATTAGTGGTTCAGCGTCAGCTACAGTGCTTGACTTAGTTGAAGAGGAATTCAGAAATTCGCTAATAGGACATTCGCCAATGGGGAAATTACAGAGGATGTATTAACGGAAGTACAGTGGAGGGTGGAGTGTGCGGTGTGGGTATGGAGTATGGGTGGGGTGTGGTTGTGTGTATGAGTGTGGGTGTGAATGTGGATGCGGATGTGAGTGCGTGAATATGACATCCACACCGATCCACACCCATCCTACCTTTAAAAAGACCGAAAATTTTCTGCAATATAGATTACTGATCGTATATAAACATTAAACTCATTCTACATATATATTAATTTTTTTGATACAGAATTTAAATCATGCTGACATTCCGTATGTAAAAGAAAATATTAATCCGAATAATGCCAACGCTTGTCATGAAAAATAACATAAAGATTCATATCATATTGATGTTCTGCATCTAAGTCAACATTATGCTGAAAACGTTTTTACAACAGAGTTTAATTAGAATTCTACATTGCTAGGAGAATCGTATTTCACGATGTAGACTTCTCTCTGCATCTAAATGACAAATGTTAACACCATTCGAGTGTGGATATGGGTATATGATTTATGGTGTTTCTCATGACAAAGATCGACGTTATTCTCATTGATATTCATTTGTGCATGCGGAATTTCAACATGATTTAATTCATTATATTGTCCTTCATCACAAAAATTGAAATGACGCTAGAATATATTAATTACAACCTTCCTGAAACTCGCCAACATTGTCATTAAACTAAAAATTTAATTCTTCTAAGAATAAGTTAATGTAATGAACGATAATTCTACTAGAAAGTCAGAATTCTGTCAAGATTCTCCCAATAAAATAAAATTCTAAGCAGAGTTCTGCTTTAAGTGCTGGAATAAGTATGTAAGATTATACAAAATTCAGCGCGTGGCACAGACTTCTGACAAAATTCTGCTGGAAAAATAAAATTCTAAACAGAATTTTGATTTACATGCAGAGATAAGTGTATCTGATGAAGCACATTTCTGCTAGAAAATCAGAATTCTAACACAATTCTGCTGGAAAAACATAATTCTAAGTAAAATTTTGATTTCGAGGATGTAGGTGTGGTTGTAGATGTGTGTGGATCTGCTATTCTTCATCACCTACACCCACATTCAACTTGGAAGCAGGAATCCAGTAATCGGATCCAGTGGTCGGATTTTCCTAGGACTAAACTATATCTTTATATTTTTCTCAATTAACGGGATAATTGAAAAGCAAATTCTGGACGAGACTTTCGGTATTGGGACATGAAAAAGTTTGTTTCTGGGGGGAGGGGGGATTCTAGTTAGCAATACAAAAGATGCATCTATAGAGAAATATTTCTTAAGTCAAGTTTTTAATGAGTTGGTAAAGTTCAATTGTTGAATTCCTCTCTCTTTGGTTCAAAACTAATGGTCTGATCAAACTTTGACATTTAAATGACACATAACTTCTAAATTTAATATACAAAAAGAAGAGTAAATAGTTTCTTTTTAAAGTCAATTGAGATTTATTAATAATTAAAATAATATAATTGTGGTTTAAAAAGATACGATTTGAATGTCAGTAAGTTAAAGTTTATTTTTGATGTTCGTATTCATATTAAACATAACTGTATTGGTCCACAATAGAATATTGTAGCATGTACTTCATGTCATCAATTTGAAAAGAAGAGAAGATGACAACGATAATGCCAATGAATAATCAAGTAGACGTAGAGAGCAGGCAAGCTTGTATTATATCTCGTCAATATCAGAAATAAATGAATGGAACACGAAGAAAAAAGAAATCATTAATGAATAAATACAATCGAATTCCGTGTCAATTCCAGTTTTTTAAATAAAATGAATAATGATTAACCTGACAAAGAACATTTTTTTTATCAGAATGTCTCTCCGAACAGTACACTTAACCAAGAATACATATACATTTGGCGCAGCATCCTGACAAACTGCATGGGAGACGTTCCGTTTTGATTGACTCTTTCGTTGGAATCCCGATAGACGCTTAAGTATTAGAAAGTTCCATGCTTACAACAACTTCATGTAGTTCCAATATAACAAAAAATAGCGAAGTCTTATTTTATATGTTAAGTTCATAAATAACAAGTAAGATTCATCGCAAAACGATTCACTTGATCCTAGATTGACAGAATAGAGATAGGCGCATTTAGGTATGAACGTGCTTTAAATAAAGTATTAGATAAATGCAAGAGAAGACTTAACATGTAACAGTGACTCGTTTCAAAAGTTTTTTTTTGTAATATAAAATTTGATTTTTATGTTTATAAAGAAAAAACAATTTTGAATCTGCTACATAGTTCTAATCAATATAAGTTTATATTAGTGACATAACCAGATGGATACTAGAGGTGGCTTAGCTCGCCTAGAAGACTTTGAGCCTCCTTCCGAAGCATTACTAGAGAGTCTTTGTCCTCTCAACAGACATGGTCAGGACGCTGGAGCCCCTCTATAACTCCGTTCTTAATCGAGGACAGTAGATGAAAAATTATTTCCGTTACGTATTGATAGATATCGAATTGCTGAAATTCTATCAACGATATGTGGTCACATATAGTAGTATATTGACTTAAGGGATTTTATGTTCAAAGTTTCAATATTTTAAATAAAAAAACTCGAAATTGAAAATCTTCCGATTCTTCATCATTCATGCCAGAACTGCTAGCTATGATCATTTGTACTATAGTTACCTATGGTAATCATGTTACAGACAGACACAGACGAATTTCCGTTTCTAGGCTCTATCCTTACAATCTAGGGAAAAGCAATTAAAATTAAATGAAAGAACTGATAAATTGAATAAGTGTCAGATATGCGTACGAAGATATATCAGTCTTTTGAATTCCAATATCCTGACACTTCAAACAGAACATTAATCTCTAGCGAATGTTTTCAACAATTTCGACTTTAACTACATCATCATTGCACATACCATTGTTAAATATTATTCATTTATTAATAATATTATAAAGTAAAATCTGTACCTACTCGTTCATTTTCCTAATGGCAAATCGAGAAAAAAAAATCAATCATATTGCATTTCAAAGCGAAGCACTAACTTTTTATACATTATGAATATTTCATGCTATTCGATCTTCGAAATAATTCTCGTCACTTCAAACTAGAACATATTTATTAAAAAAGATATTTCATTAAACAAAAATTACAAGATTATGTAGTCGAAATTCTAATACGATGAAAACTATGTATGCGTTGTTTTAAAAAGAATATGGATCTTATCTTCATCCATACTGTAAAAAAAAGAGCAATCTATTCGAAATTAGATGCTTGTCACATCATAGTCAATTGATAATTGTTTCTTAGACATAGTTATAATAAATTCATTCAATGAATTAATCAATATATGAAATACTAATGGTGTTCTACAAATATATGATCCAAAAAGGAGCCGAACAATTCGAGAAATCACTTTTAGTAGCAACTCAATCCATGAATTAGGAAAGATATTTATTGAAGATATCCAATGTAAATATTATATAAAAAAATATATTAAAAGGTCAATAAAAAAACACATCCATAAGAATCGAGTCCTATTGAAATTCGTCAAGAAACAGAAACTGGTTGCTTGGTTAATACATCACCTTTGACAGTAAGTATTGATTGCTGCCGTCGTTGATCTTCATAAACACCATTAAGAAAAAAACAGCCGTATGCACAACTCCAAAAGCCATTCTCATCAAAACGACCATTGCCTTTAAACTCACTGTTGCCATTGGGTTCCTGAAATATTCAAAATGACTCTAGTTATCGACTATTTCCTTTCATTTGAAGTATATTTCCACTATGTTAAAATTAAATAGTACTCAAGAGTCATTTGATCTAAATTATAACTAGTTTCGAAAAAATGTTGCTCAATCGATTTCATCAATTTGACTAATATTTTCACATTAGTTACTAAGAAACCATTCTGAAGATATAGAGGTTGCAAGTATAGATGATCAGCTTATTATTGAAACATTTTTTTAGAGTAATAAATTTGAGTAAATATTTTGTTTTCTAAAGAACGATTAGATTTATAGTCGAAATTTTTTACCATAGGTATTATCAAATATGGGCTATTATTTTATGTTCATGAAAGTATTTCCATATCTGATAATTTTATGTGGCACTATATTCCATCTTCAGACAATATGATTCCATGTATAAAACAAATTGGTCGAAACAACATAATGAGTGAGCTCGTTAGTAGTCTTATTTGAAAGAGTACATCAGAAAACTATGAAGATCGATCATTTTCTAAGATGTTTGATTTATGTGATCAGATGAGAGTCAATATCGAGAAATCTCTAAACTCAAAATTTCAACTCATTGGATGCGACGGTGAAAAGAGTACGAGAAAATGGTAGCAGCTGGAAATAAGAAATCTGATAGCTCGGTTTTTCTATATCCAGTAGGGAAATAATCGTAACCGGCAACGTTGGCCACGAAATCTGATCAATGGACTTCTACATCCAAGTTGCTACCATTTACCCGAGTTCTTCATCAGGAAATTAGTCATATTTCTTGACCTGAGTAAATATTATCCAAAAACACGGAAAGAAAAAATCTTTCGTCACTTTTTCATAGACACATCCAAATGAAGTACTTTTGTCATCAGGAAAAGATACTCCATGATCAATAGTAACTTTGGTAAAAAATTTTTGACTATAGCTTTTATTGTTCTTTAGAAAACAAAAAATTTATTGAAAAGTATTACTCTATAAAATATTCTAAATCAAGCTAAGAATCTCTACTTGTTTTTAGATGCGGCTCATTCATTGGAGTTAAGGTATATTTGAAGTCGCACGCTCCTAGTGATCTATAATTCCATACTATTTACGATTGGAATATATTCGATAGTTTGCTTAAACAATATACTATTGAAATAGATTTTGACAAATAAAATTTGATGATATTCTAATTTTTCAAATGACTATTTTGAACATACCTGTTTTCTATAAAAAATATGACCATCTTCGGAAATGGTCATTTGCACTTCGTTTCCATTTGACCATTGTCCAACAAATTTTTCAGGAGGTCGTTGGCCACAACAAGCATTAATACCCATTTTAAATATCGTTATATTCTGTTTAAATGATAAGTACGTAATAGAATGTGCTATTAGAAAGAAAAAAAAATATTAAAGAGAGCTTGAGTAAAGAATAGTCAATGATGCATGTGACTGCTATATATATGGAGAATACGATGATGAAAATTTTCCTATTCGGATATGCTTTCGAATAAGTAGTATTTAACCTAGTTGATAGTATATTTCTTGAAAATAGATATATCAATTGTTCATTCAAATAGTCAGATATTCAAATTCTATTTTCTTTTGTATTGGCTGTCATTTTAACTCGATATATTATTTTACGATATGATGACGAATAAAATGATTACTTCTTATTTATGATGAGCTTTTAAGATATAGAACTCATAGCTATACATTCTATTTTTTACTCTTTTATTCAATACTAAAATATTCTCTCAAAGGGTATAAGTTTCGATGAAGAAAAAACTTACAAACACTACCTTTGTATAAGTTGATTTTTTTTTGTCGTAAAATTTTCAAATAAAATGATTTCTGATACAAATGAATGAATTTCAATGAAATAAAGCATTCGAAGACTTTTTCTAGTATGTATCATTTATGTTTTATTTCTTGTTGAATCTACATAACAGAGACCTTCCTCCATAGAATAACTCAAATATTACTTAGGGTGATCTAAAAGTAGTGACGGAGGTTCTTTTTTTTCTTATAGAAAGCTTGAAAAAAATTTCTTTTTTTATGAACAGATAGAGCGTCTTTCGCTCTAGCTTTCTATGCTATTTGACCACTATTAAACTAATATCATAATAGTAAAATTTCGCTAAGAGCTATTTTTGTTGAAAACCAGCTGGTAACATTTAGTTCATAATGAGTGTGGTATTTTTGCATTCCACTTTATTGTCACATAATATGTTGTATTGAAAAAACGAAATATATCAGAAGATGCGGCGTGAAAAGCTCTACAATTTACAAAGAACAACTATACAAAGATAGGATAGAAAAAGACCGAATTCGTTGTTTTACCAAAAAAAGGTCTCGTTTTCGTCACGTCGAAACTTGGTAACTCAGAGTTTCGTCCATTTTTAGAACAAAAAGTACAACTATAAAATAAGCGGTACTATATAAATTATAGAGCTTTTCACGCTGCATCTTCTGGTATATTTTGTTTTTTTTTAATACAACGTATGGAGTGATAATAAAATGAAATGCAAAAGTGTCCCATTTTTTATATCACATTCATTATGATCTAAATGTTACCAGCTGGTTTTCAACAAAAATAGTTCTTATCGAAATTTTATTATTATGATATTAGTTTAATAGTGGTCAAATAGCATAGAAAGATAGAGCGAAAGACGTTCTATCTATTCATAAAAAAAGAAAATTTTTTCAAGCTTTCTATAAGAAAAAACAGAACCTTCGTCACTACTTTTGGATAACCCTAAGTATATACAGCTTCTCTGAATTTTTTTGTATCATTTTTAGTAGATTACATAAAATGATAATAGGATATACTTACGATTTCGAATAAATATTGAAATGTATGAATGTTGCTTAATGAGTGATTACAGGTGGTTAAATAACGTATTTATCGCTCACGAAAATGATTTGTTTTTTCCCATGAATATTAAATGACGAGTATTAGTGAAGCATGGCAATTTTACGTGGTAGGCTGGTCATTGCCTAAGAATATGTGCGTCATTGTGTATGTTCCCTTTACTCAGGTAATATATTATGTATCACAATGCAAATATCCAATATGTCTATATACAAAAATATGTTTCATCACACACGTGTCTTTCAAATAATACACTATCTAAACGCATCTGAATTGAATGATGATTAGACACTATCTAAAATAAGATAGCGTCTACATGCATTCGACGCAATATATCGAAATTAAAAAACAATTTATTCTCTGTTCCAGATTTGACTTTATGTTATGCTCGATAAGCATTTTATGTGACAGTTTTGCATCATTTCTCTGAAGCGATTCGTCTTTTCTCGATAGACAATAAAGAAAAAAAATTTTCTCATTAATATTAATAACCGAGTGGTTTATCGTGGCATAAATTGTTTAATCATATAAATTAATGCTAATATTTAGATAAAACCATTCCTATTTTATAATCGAGTATTCGAACTTTCCGATCTTGATTATTTACGAAATCCAATATAGGCCTTGCTTTTTATATAATCACATAATGACAACATCAATTAATTGATTTTAAGTCTAAACTATTTATAGGCTTCATAAAGAAATGCATTGCTCTACTTTGATGTATATCAAGATAAAAAAGTTGACTGAAGAGCTTTGGCAGTCTTAGACTGTTGTATTCCAAAACTAATATGTGTATTAGACGATTTTATTCGAGTTTTATAATTGATAGTGATTTTTTAAAGAGATATGTACCACATGCGAAGAGAACGAGCAGATCTCGTCTTTATCATATTAGTTATTAAACTCTATTGATAGAACTTCATTTATTTCAATGTGATGAGCAAAATATATTTAAATTTATCTTAAACCTAAATTTGTCCAAATTTAATTGCATTCTTTTATTGTATTTTTAACTTTATACGAGATTATTTAGAAATATTATAGTGTCACAAATATTTTTCATCTATTGTTAGGCGCAACTATCGGATAGTTTTCTTGTTGAAGTGTAAAATATTAAACGTAGACATTCATGCTTTTCCAAATCTTTAATAATTGAATAAAATTTATTTTATTCTCTTACGAAGACTGTGTGAAATATGAAGATGTGAGAAAAAGTATGTATATAAGATCTAATCATACAATAGTAGACTATACTATTGTTCAATCTTAATTGTTGATTTATTAAAGAACTTATTTTCAAATAATCAATTGATCTGTTGTTTTTTCTTTGTCAGGTTAATGGTACTGATTGAAATTCTGTTTGTCGATTTTACTTCGTTCACTATTTTGGATTTTAGATGACCGTGGTTTTCCTGTTCATTTAATGGATTCTAAGCGTTAGCAATCAAATCTTTGAATCACATATAGGATAACTCAGTTTTTTTTATGTTGATTTTGAATATCATATTAGTTTTGATTTGAAAGACAAAAAATTGCACTTGGAGAATATTTTTTGAATAGCTCAATTTTTTTAACTTTTAAAAATAGCTATGAAAGTTTCGATCATTTCAATTTTTTAATGAAAATATTTTTGTAAAGATAAAATTTGATGATACAGAAATATTAGTCTCATCATGCTCTTTTCGTTTATAAATCATTCGATGGTATTGGCCAAGAAAAGTATTAGTTCATGGAATTGAATATGAATGTTAAATTGAATCTTCTATTCATTCACACTTAATTAAAAACATTGATATTAATTATTTTCTAAAGTTATAACTTGATCAGTTCAATTTTTTTTTGTTGATCATATCATCACTATAACAAATCAATACAACTCTATTTATTATCCTTGTCATTTAACTCTCAAGAAAGGCTTTGGAATGTTCTAGAAAAGCCTAAGTGCCATTGATCATCTTTTTCTGCTGGTAAGTAACTCTAGTGCTTGTTGTTCTTGATTGCTAAGGTCTAGAGAGAAAGAAGCCGCAAAAATCTTAGTTTAAATGTACATTCATTATTTTCTATCAAAGTATATGTGAGTTCTACAGAATCAAAATTAAAACAAAAGATCGAAAATTTCTCTACACATAAAACTTAAATTGAAAAATGCAACATTTCTTACTTCTACTAAGATATATTTAATTTTTTGAAATTAATAACTTATTTACTTATTTCCTAGACTGATCGGATAGAGATATGCATATATGCGCATGTAGGTATGAACATGTTTTAAATAAAGTATTAGACAAATGTAACAGCGACTCGTTTCAAAAAAAATATTTTTTCGTTATATAAAACTTGATTTTTATGTTTAAAACGATTTTGAATATGCCACCTAGGTCTAATCAATATAAGTTTATATTAGTGGCATAACCAGATGAGCGCTAGAGATGGATTAGTTTCCCCTGGAAAGCTTTGAGTCCTTCTACGAACATTTGAGTTCTGCTTAAAAATGGACATGAGCTTCCTGTAGAAACGTTATCAGAGAGTGTTTGCCATTTGTACAGACATGGTCAAGAGGTTGGAGTCCCTCTATAGCTCCATGATTAATACTATTTTCAATTTCAAATGATAATCGAGGACAGAAGATGAATAATTCTTTCTGTTATATGTTGATAGATATCGAACTGCTGGAATTCTATCAACGATATGTGGTCACATATAGTAATATTTTGACTTAGGGAATTTTATGTTCAAAGTTTCAATATTTTAAATAAAAAAACTCGAACTTGAAAATCTTCCGATTTTTCATCATTCATGCCAGAACTGCTAGCTATGGTCATTTGTACTATAGTTACCTATGGTAATCATGTTACAGACAGACACAGATGAATTTCCGTTTCTAGACCCTATCCTTTCAGTCTAGGGAATTGTCATCTTGCAGAGAGTTAAAGATTGTTGCAAGATTCAAGTGCATAATTCGTTAGAGTGTTTAGAGAACGCTTGAAAGTTATCTTAAACTTCATCAACGAGTATTTTCTACAATTTTCATCCAATGAATTTCAACTTTTTGATGATTTGTAGGCCGATAGCATCATCTAATTTTGTAGAGAAACAAATACCAGAACTGATTGTAGCCTAGTTCGAAGAAATAAGGATACGCAACCAACATTATCTCGATATTTCAGCTATGCATTCGACAATGTCTATTATTTGGACACTCAGCATCATCAACGCTTCATAAACTCATTTTTTCTGCAATCCTTTCATTCGAAAGTTTAGCTTTTTTCGCGTAAAAATGTTTTTCCTAAACTGTTTCCAAGCAATATTACCAAGTCGACATAGAAGTCAGCACTACATACATTGTCACTGCACCTTTTAGACAGTTTCAGATTCATTTTATTAAAATTAGTGTCACGAAGTATCAGTTTCATCGACTCGAATTTTATCAAAAATCATTCTGTCATCTTGTATGTTATGTTATGGGGTCTTAAAAACCACAGCAAAACACAATTTTTGCATTGGTTAAAATTGGCGCCATCAAGCTTAGATTCTAGTCCATTAAACTAATATAGACGATAAATATTTGATTGTTTTTATTTTGTTTTAATCAGCTGAACTATTTTCATTCGCCAATTCTTTCCTGAATCGAATCGTCTTTACAAATAATGATTTGAAGTATAGCCATGACCTTTTGTATGGGCATATATTAATTCAATACTTTTATAATTGATAAAACAGATTTATGATATTTTCTTCTGATATTCGGCATACATAAATGTCAGTATATTCTACTTGATTTATTTCTTTTGCTTTATCATTAACTGTACTTTGGAACACATAAAAATGTTTCTATTGTACATCAAAATATCAAATATTTAAGGATCTGTCAAAGCAAATAAACAGCATTATACTAAGGTGTAAAGTAACAAAATTTGTTCTTTCTGTGAGCAAATAATGTGATCGTTAAAAAGATAACAAAACAACATTTTTCTTTCATAACTACTTAATCTTCATATATATATTTTTTTCTCTATTTGACTACTATTCCAACAATGAATAGTAATGTTACATCAACAACATCACTTGTTTGCTTTATTGTATGTGATGGTGGACCAGCCGGTCATTTTGCAGCATTTGCTACCAATCTTTTTGTTCAAAATGAATTACAGATCATTATATATGCAACTGGACCGGCTCTAACTAAACTAAAAGATTTACATTTGCCTAATGGTATTCAACTTCTTTCATTTACAATTGATGATTTCAATCGTGAACAACAAGAACAAGTAGCTATACAATTGATTGATAATTGTCTGAAACAAGGTGCACTTAGTATTATTGTTGACATTGGTAATAAATTTGATGGAATATTTCAAAGTGTTTCATCGAAACGAAATCTTCCTAGTGATATGATTCGTTTCTGGTGTTATTATGATAATCCCGAACCATATGTACCCGGTGGTTATTCAATTAAAGCCGAAGAAACAATTAAAGCATCACAATATATTTTATTTGCAAATATAAATTTAGCAAAAACTGATTCGATTATATATTCATTGCCTGAAAAAAAGATCGATCTAATAAATAAGATTGTTCAAGGTATTGGTTATTATCCTGTTACAGAGGTCGAAAAATTATTACAACAACGTGAAATTGAAAGAGATACTTTACGAGTACACAATAGTTGGACGAATGTTAAACATTTATTCGTATATTTTGGTGGAAATAATGATGCTTATTTTGATCAAGCATTTCCTGCTTTTCTGTCAAATCTTTCACATATAGATAAGACTTTAGTTCAAGATATTTTATTTTTACTTCATCAACATCCTGCTGCAAAAAAACAGAATCGAGATGGTCTGTTATTTCAAGAATGGCTAACAAAAAATACTCATATTCAAGGAATTATATCAACATTAAAAACAAGTGATCAAGCACAAATAGTTGCTGATGCTGCTTTATATTATCAAACAAGTATGGCATCACAATTCGTTCTTCTTGGATTACCGACAATGCAAGTAGGACATGAAGTTTATCATGATGTTTTAGTTAAATTCGATTTATGTTATACGGCTATTAATGCAACTGAATTAGCTATTGGATTAACAAGAATGAAAGAAAGAAGTCAATCATCAGACAAAATTCAACAACGCAAAGAATTAATTTATAATGCTATTGGATATACACCTGATTGGCCAAATAATCTTCGTCGTATTATCTTCGATTATAAATGATCTATTTTTATGTTGATTATTTTTTTTCTTTTATTATTATGATTATAAGTAAAGACATGTCAGTTTTAAATATTCGAAAAAAAAAGAAAGTAATTGAATTTCTGCAATTTTATTCTTAGCTTTTATACTTCTCACATTTCGATGTAATAGTATGGTCATTTTTTATTCAAAAACGGCTCTTCTGTCTAAACTAGGGATATACGAGATCGAAAAAAAATTAAAATTCTACTGGGATTACTAGAAAATTTACCGAAGTTGAAACTCAAGTTTATAGTAAAATATTCTATGTTTTTAAACAAATTATCTTATAAATCAAATGAATTAGAACGCGGTTCAGGAGAGGTGATTCAAAAAAGTGTCAGTCGTCGACTAAATAGTCAGTGCAGGGTTCCCGATTGGGAGGAGGGTGCAGGAAGGAGCTTTTTCCTCCCAAAATTTCAGACTTTCTGCTATAATTTTTGATAACACTTTCTGCAAAATTTTTAAAGTCCAATGCAACAGAAAACTATTGCATTTGCTGAAATAAAATTAAACAAAAGATACTTTTTTTGAAGTTTCTCGCAGAAAGTCGATGTTGTTTGTGTCAACTTTCTTGCAGAAACTCGGTTTCATTTCTGTCAAATTTCTCCAAGAGATTTGATGTTATTTCTAGGAGAAATTTAGCAAAAATAAAATCGACTTTCTGCAGAAAAAAATATAGACTTTCTGCCAAATTTTTAGCTTTCCACTCTTAAAAACAATCGGGAACACTGGGTCAGTGACCAAAGAGCTGGACACGAGTGCCCAAAAATATGGTCTGAACGATCATGAAAATGCTTTAAGTGTTCAAAACGACGGTATGATTGATCATATTCATGGTACAAATGACCAAATATGTGGTTATTCGCATCATCGATGTGGCCAATTGTACCATCGGCATGGTCACTTGTACCACGACCGTGGGCCTTTGCACTCTTGATGTGGCCACTTGCACCGTGACTGTGACCTTTTGGACCATCGAGATGGTCCTTTGATCATGACTTTAGTCACTTATACCATGTCTGTGGACCTTTGTACCATCATTATAGTCCTTTGTATCATGGCTGTGCGTCTTTGCACCGTCGATATGGTCCTTTGTATCATGGCTACAGGCCTTTGCACTATCGATGTCATCATTTCTACCACGAATATGGTCCTTTGTGTACCATGATTATGGTCATCTGTACCATCAATTTGGGTACCTGTACCACATGTTGCAGACAGACAGACGCAGGTGGATTTCCATTTCCAGACCCTATATTTTTAGTCTAGGGGACAAGCTTTCAGTGTAATCCCTGCGAAATTAAAATATAAAACACGATTGATCTGTTCCGCTTGTTAAAAAACGCTCCATACATGTTGATCGTATTATTCTTGATGATTAGATAGGCTAGAGTATCGAAATACCTGTCAAGATTTATGACACTATAGGGAACTTTGTCCTTTATTTCTGTCTGTTACAATCTGTGAGAGGAGAGAGTGGATTCAAATTTCTACTCTATATACTTCAACACTCCTTTAAGATCGTGTTTCACAAAAATTAATTTGTCATTTTAATTAGACTGAATTTCAATCAGAGATGATAGTAGTTTTATCATGTTTCGCATTTAAACTCTATTGGGACCGCATTGGGTGGTTTCTGGTTTAAATTAGCTTTTTAAAATACCTGAGATCACTAATATTTTCAGTGTTTTATCTTCTGTATATTTCACAAACTGAATTGAATAATTTATGCTAGGCAGTGTTCAAGTGTAAATATTTGTAATTATAATAGTTTCTTCAAAATATGAATAAACAAAACAGTGACTTGAAGATATGTACGATACGATATTTTCTACTTTATAGTTCGATGGATACAGATGATTGAATGAATTATTGGTTTGGTTTGGTTAATATTCGAACTTGATTTACAGCTGAATTATAATACTAACGGTTGATTAATTAATTGAGAAGTTCTTTGATTTTCTTAAATAAATATTCCTATTCATAAATATTCATGACATATGTGAAATATTCTTGTATGTGTTTTCTCTTTCGTGCAATAAACAAATTTGATGATGTTCTTCTCCGTTGAGGCTTGGTTGTCGATTTTGTTTTTCTTCCTATATAAATGTGCACTTTTTATTTGTTTTTATCGTTTCGTGTCGATATATATTGATTACATTTACATATTTGTGCGCATGAAGATTTTGTTCTATATCATTAAAACCGATGAGATTGATTTCATGTTTATTTTTTTGTAGAGTTGGAAACAAAATAAATGAGTATTTTTCATTCGTTTTTGAATGTATGTGCTTGTATATATATATTCTATTTTCTTTGATAAACAAATTATTAATGCCATGAAATTTGATTCGTTCGATTGCCTTCGAAAAGTAATAGGTAAACACTTAATTACCTATTTTCTTTCTTTCTTTTAGATGATTGTTAACAGATGAGTTATTACTATGTGTCACTAGCATTTGAGAAGAGGAATTATCCAATGAAAGAATGTATTTACCAATTTACAGTATATATATCAAGACAATATTGGTATGCATAGAGACATATCGACCAATATCTTGATAATCAAAGCTTGAAATTATATTCAAAATACAGTATACTTCAAATTGATACAAACTTACTATTCTTTTGAAAATGCATGATCATCTACCACTTGTTTGTTTTATTGTTTGTGATAGCGGACCAGCAACACATTTTGCAGAATTTGCTAAAAATCTTCTTGCTACAGGTAAATTACGTATTGATATCTATGCAAGTGAATTAGCTGTAACAAAATTTCAAGATTTATTATTACTTGATGGTATACGTCTTATTAATTTTATGTTAGATGGACTTAAATGTGAAGAAAAACAAAATTTAGCTGTCGATCTAATCAATAATTGTGTCAATCAACGTGCTCAAACAATTATTGTTGATATTGCAAATAAATTTAATATAAAACTTCAAGTAGCTTTTAATAAACTTGATACAACATCATGTAATATTCGTTTTTGGTGTTATTATGATAATCCAGAAGAATATGTACCTGGTGATTATTCGATCAGATCTGGAGAGATGATTAAATTATCTCAAAATATTTTATTTGCAAATATGAATTTAATAAATAGAGATTCAAAAATATTTTCATTACCAGATATTCAAATCAATCTTAATAATAAAACTATTCAAGGTATTGGTTATTATCCAATAGAAATAGCTGAAAAATTATATCAACGACGTGAATTTGAACGAAATAAATTACGAGAAAAATATCATTGGAATAATATCAAATATTTATTTATTTATTTTGGTGGAAATAATCAAATTTATTATGAACAAGCATTTCCTATATTTCTTTCTTTTCTTTCATGTATAGATAACAAATTATGTAAAGATATTCTTTTTATTATTCATCAACATCCAGGAGCAAAAATAGAAAATCATGATGGTCTCTTATTTCTAAAATGGTTATTAACAAATCGTTCTATTCAAGTAACTTTATCTTCATTGACTAGTGATGAAGCACAAATTATTGCTGATGGTATTTTATATTATCAAACAAGTATGGCACCACAATTTGCACTAATAGGCTTACCTATCATGCAAGTATCTCATAAAATTTATGAAGATATTTTAGTAAAACATAATCTATGTGAAATAGCAACTAATTCAATTGAATTTATGAATGGATTGAAAATATTAAAAGAAAAAATTCAATCGTTAAATTCAATGCAACAGAAACAATTAATATATGATGCTATTGGTTATAGATTTGATTGTTTTCAGAATCTTCAAAATATAATCTTAGATATAGAATGAAGTAGCTAATCTATTTCTTTTTCTTTTGTTGATTGTAATCTATGGATTATATTTTAAGATTTACTTAACTTTTTTTACGCGGATATTTTTATAATAAACATTTAACTAGCTAATAGAAATTTTGTAAATAATTCAATAAAAGAGTTTCTTGAATTATGATAAGAAAATACTATAGAGAAAATTTATGGTGATATAGGATCCAAAAGAAGTTGTAATCGATCATATATATTAAGTGGAATTTGTGTTTCAGCACGTAATATACGCATATACCAATAAGCATTAGTTTTTGTATTTGTTTTTCTTGTTATTATATCTTGTGTAAGTTCTGGATTAGGTGTATGAACTTGTCCTTTTTTCCAATCTTGACATAATTCAGCATTAAAACGTGCTGCAGCAAGAATACGAATTAAACGAACATCATTATTTGATGTATATTTATTAGTTAATGTATTGAAAAGTTCTTCACTTTTATTACACATTTCTTCTAATGATAATATTGAATTAGTAAATATACTCATAGCTAAACAAAATTCACTTTCAATTTGTGTTCGAATATCATCAGTTATATGTATTTGAAAATAATTTAAAAGTTCTTGTAATTCTTCAATTGTATTTATAATAGATGGATAACGAAGAAGACATACTGTAAGATGAATACGTGCTTGAAATTGATCAAATATAGATGCATGTTTATCAGAATATTCAATTGAACGACGAAATTCTTCTGCAGCATATTTAATATATGTTATGTCAAATGGTAAACTCCAATCTGAACGTCTCATTTGCATTGAACCAAGTACATTTAAACTAGCAACAAGTCCTCTCATATGTCCAAGTTCTTCACGAATTTCAATAGCTTCTTTCATTATATTAATAGCATCATCAAGTTCTTCAATATTTGTTACTAATTGATATTTATTTAATGCTAATTCATGAAGATTCATTCCTTTTGTATGTAATAAACCCATTTTTGGTATTAATTCAATCCATTGTTTAGCTATATCAGATGGTTCAGGACTTGAAGGTAAATAACGTCTTAATTGTGCTAATAAAATAGCTGCTTCAAGTGCAATATTTCGTTCTTGTCCTGAACGATTGTCTTCAGGTTTTCCACATTGATTTAATAATTCTTGTAATTCTATTATAGCTATAGCTTGTCCATCTCTTTCAACAAAACGTTTTACTTTTGCACATATAAATTTTGATTTTCGATTTGACCATGAACTTAATGATAATGGTGCCGTTTCAACTGTATCACGAGCATCATTCATTGCTTGAATACGTCCAATTCTATCACCTATTTCAATTGATGCTTCAACAGCTGCTAATCTAGCTATACAATATTCACGTGTACCTTCAATAGATATATGAGTCGCATAATCAAAATAACGTTTAGCCTCAGAAAAATATGATAAATGAGAAAGCATTGCACCACTAACTATATAACTTTGCCATTGAGTTGGTAATGATAATAGATATTCTTCATTTAAATCAGTTTGATCTATATGATCATTTTTACAATCAATATTTAATTGAGTAATTTTAATTAGAAAATCAATCGAATCATTTGTTGTTACAACTGTTAAACGATCAGCAATACCACGTTCATGCCAAGCACAAGCCATTGTAATTAGACCACGATCAAATGAAATAATATTATTTGATATACCATTAGCTATATCTATACCATTACAAATAATAGGTTCTAATAAATTATCAATATGTTGAATCCAAAGAACATTTAATGGTGTTTTGATAGTTTTTAACCAACGTGTAACATCAAAATCATCCGTTGCTGAATAATTAATTATTATAAATGGTCGTGTTTCTAATAGATAATGTAAAAAACAACGACGTTCAATAGATTCTCGTGTTAATGAAAGTCTTTTAAGTGTTGCTATAGGACCACCATCTTCATCTGCACGTACAAGTACTCGTTGTTGATTTTTCCATATAGCAACAGTACCATGAATTTTCCACAGACCAGTTAAATTTGGTGATACACCAGTATTAATTAAATCATAAGCTTTTTTAAAATGTTCTTCTGTACAAAATACATCAAATGGTATTATATTTGAATCATTTCCTAAATGAAAACGTCCAGCATCTTCAATTAAATGATCGAAATTTGTTGTTATTACTGTATATTTATGTGCTAACATAGCAAGTATATCATGTGATCGATCAATTGTTGGTGTATCAGTCATAAGTACATCTAATAATGATAAATTAGGATCAATATATTGTTGAATTATATCAAAAACTGTTTCAAGTCGAATACGAGGTGGTCCTTGAGAAAAATGTGGTTCAATAATATTCCATGCTAATTTATTATCATCAGGAAGAGAAATATTTGTATATCGTTTAACAAGATTTTGAAGACCAATTGATGCTAATCCTGATGCTGAACCAGAAAGTATTGTTAATTGATTTGAAGAAAATGAATTTGAAATATTTTCATCTTTTTTCATATTTATTAACCATTCAAATTTCAATGATGGACATGATTTGAAATGAAACTCATGTTTTTGTTGTATTAGATTACTTTCAGAAAGACTTTTAAAGTTTTTCTTGAGTTTTTGTTCTGTAGAAACAATTGTCTGTTGTGCCGATATATCAATAGTATCGATTGAATCTCTACTAATCGATTCTTTACGTACTTTTTTAATCTGTCTCTCTTGTTGTTCAGCTAGAAATAAAGAAAAATTTCGATTAGAAATACTCTCAAAACTTCTACTTCTTTCGTATTTTATTATTAAGAAAATTCAAGTTTTCTTTTCTTTAATGACATTTGATTTGATATTTTTTTTTATTTATAATAAAATTTTAATCGATTTCTTTTAAGCTATTTATTTTCTAACTATTTTGTAATGTTTAGCCCCTCATTGCATATCGTGTATTTATTTTTATTTAAAATAATATTAATTTTCATCACTCACATCTATCTTCATCACGAAAAGAATTTCTTCGTTTCCGTTGAACATCTTGTCTTGATATATTTTCACAAACTATTCGTTTGATAGATTTCTGTTTCAATGGATCTACTTTATTGATTTGTAAAAAATGTTTACAATAAATTATATCATTATCCAATTCAATATAATCTTGATTTTTTTGATAAGCATCTTCAATGATATTCATTTCAATATCAGAAAATTTTTGCCATTCATTCTGAACATTTGATAATGAACGACTATTAAAAGATTTCCAAAACCATTGATATTTATTTGACATGATACTAATAGAACAATCTAAAACATTATCTAACAATAAGATATAAATACGAAAATAATTAATATTATTTTCTCAAAAAAAAAAAATAAATAAAAGTACTATCTAGTGTAATGTAACAAAAGAAATTTCCAACGAAATTTAAGGTGGATGTATATGTCATACGTCTATGACTCATTTTCCAATTCACTAAGAGTCTATGTCGCATCTTTATTTATCGAAATAATTGCAAAAGATTTTTTTTTCCAACTAATTAATATTAGTCATAATATGATGCAATCTCAACGATATCCAATCATTTCAAAAATAGGTTTCTATCTTATACATACCGATCGTCTATAGAAAAAAAAGAACAGAAAAAAAAAGAGTATTCTCTCAAACGTATAAGCAAACGCAATCAATGTAAGATTCTTTGCTCTTCCCTTTTTTGCGGACACTGTACACATTAAAAAATTGAATTATTCGATATTTATTTATGCTTCAGTATAATTCAAAATAACTGCAAATAAATTAGAAAAATAAACGGTAAGTTGTTTGAAGTGTTTTATATTTATATGGATCATCACAATTGCATTAATCCGTTTTGATGAAAAAAATAATAATCCATCATTAATCCAGAATATTTATAAGTATGGTATGCGAGCACTTACGATATTTTAAGAATGTTATAAATGATTTCAGTGAAAAACTTGTCGTTTATGTTTCTCTAATCATTTAATTATTATTTTCGAACTTCACATAGCATTTTAAATATCAAGTATACGACTAGTTGTAAATCTTTCGTTTTTAAGAAATCACATTCATACATAAAGATTTATTCGTAGATAATATATTATTAATAATCTATATTGATAAGTAGCTTGTTTTGTACATAAGACTTCAAATAGGTAGACTAGTGCACAAATAGACCGTTTTATGACAATCGTATAATTATGTAGTTACATTTACATTTTATTCTATATAATATAATTATATGCAGCAGATATGGTTATCAAGTTAATAGAAGGGTGATTCACAATGTTTTTATGTTAGTAGTTTGATTTTCTACTCAGAGAATATGTATCGTTCGCTACTTCATTCAGTTAACAAAAAAATGAAAACATGAAGTACGTAATAATCAACATACTATGTATTAATAGTTTATTGTGTATAAATAAATAATTGTAAATATTCTTTACTATTACATATAAGATTATTCATAACATTTCTTATATTATTTTACTCATATTTAAAGTTGAAAAGTTTTTTTTAATGTATACATCAATACTTCTATTTCGACAGTAAAACAGGAAATAGTTGACATGAGATTTATACTGTTTGGTATTGCTAGAATATGCAGTAGTAGTTAATAGTAAAAGACATGTAATTGAAGTATTTATGGTAATAAATGATGACTTACTAATTAGATGATAGTTGTCTGACACTATTGTCATCAACGAACAACCAGCAATTTTTAATGAAAAGAAACAACCAATAATGTATCTTCGGAATATGTATATCAATAATCGAGCTAGTGATCTATTCTATTTTTTCTTAACTTTTCTCTTTCTTACCGTCACGAAGGAATACGAGAGGAACGTGTGATTTATTTTTTATTTGTTTACAAAAACCTATCATCGATATAGAAGCGCCAAGAAAGGTAAAAACGGAAGAGAGTCTACTTTTTATTGTCATTTTTACATAAATCTTTCAATTCTATTCATTTCTTTTATTTTTGTGTGTGTCAGTCAGTTACACCTATGCGACGATGCATTATTATTTAAATATAATTGTTAGTAAAATATAAAAACAAAAATTTGTTTTTTTCTTATGATATTTAAGAGTGACTTGTTATTTGATTTTGTGTTCAAAGAACATTCCATATTTTTTATTATTGCACTTATATCTTTCATTACATTTGATGACAATAAGAATATATTAAAATTTACAATCATCATCAATATCATGGGAGATACCGAAAAATTATGATTTTTAAAAACTCAAAGATATTCTTTGAATTAACTCAGGTTTTTTTTTGTCATTTAGAATTTTATTTTTTCAATTTTGAATGAAAATAAAATCATGTCGAATATATATCAATGGTTATGGAAATCTAATCCTAATCCTTGGGAAATAAACATAGAAGAACAATGGGAAAGATATTCTGATATTGAAATGACTATCATTGAAAATGCTTATCAAAAAAAATATTCAACTGTTGAATTAGATAATTTTATCATTGATCTTAAACATCTTGTACAAATTAATAAAATAGATTCAACAAAACAAAGACCTATTAAACGAATATCAGATGTAAATCTTCAATGTTTAAGAGAAGAACGATTTACTTTACCAAATCATAGTTCATTGAATATACGAAGAAAGTCTTTTGGAGATGAAGCTAGATGGATGTCACCAAAATTTATTGAAGAATGGATTAGACGAAATCCACGTATAACATTAATTCAACGTATTGAAAAAGCAGCACAAGGTATTTTAGAAGAAGGTCGTTTACTTGAAAAAATTACCGAAAGTCAATGGTTAGCAAAACAATTATTGGAAGTTAAAGAAAAATCATGGGATGAAATTGCTTTACGTTGTTTATATTTATATACAATAGAATGTTTTCTTTATAAATTATTAAACAAAACATTAAGAGAAGAAGATCTATCAAAAGTTGATACTTTAGGACCTTTTTGTGATTTTCTTTGGAATAGTCTCTCATCGGAATATTTAAAATCAAAATATCAATTTACAGGTTTAGTTTATCGTAGTGCTTCATTACAACCTGATGAAATTGATGCTTATAAAAATTCTATTAAAAAATATCCTAAAGAATGGCTTAGCTTTTCATCAACAAGTAAAAATCGTACTTTAGCAGAATTCTATGGTGGAAATACTCTTTTTATTATTAATGTACCATCACAATCACAACATTTAGATATATCTACAATATCACATTTTCCTCCTGAAGAAGAAGTATTATTAGGAGCTTCAACTAGTTTTCAAATTGAAGATGTTAAATATGATGAAACTACTGGAAAACATTTTATTTATCTTAGAATTTTATGGTAATGATCAATTGAACAAAGAAAATCACTTTGAATAGAAATTAGTATATAACTATCAATCGAATTTTATTCATATAGAGATATAAATAATCAAGTTATATTATATATAAATGTAAATCTTTCTTCAAAATCCATGTCTATTGTTTATCATGAGCTTACTACAATAGATGTTGAATATTGTTGTTATACTTTAATAGCTAATAAAAACATGAACTAAATTCAAGTCAACAAACTATCTTTTTTTTTTACATATTTTTGTTTGTAAAAAAAATTCGACGATTTATTGAAAATAGATTTTTTAAAGTTTCACATCTATTGTAAATATATCTTTTTCTTTGAACAAATGTTATTTATTTAATAGGTAGACATCAAATAAAAATACTACTTGATCGAACGTCATATTTATGATTATGTTTCAATTTACTAAAAAAACTTTTACAACGTCAGCCTATGAATAAGGTGCAGATGTGGGTGTATCAGCATCAGTATGAGTGTAACTCTTCTTCACACTCACAATCTTTAGGTGAACAGCAGCAACAATTGCAATGATAATCTGTATTTCAAAAAATAAAAAATATTTTTTGTTTAGATTAATCTCAAGGAAAAGGGCGTGGATGTGGGTGTGGATATTTTATACTCTTACAACACTCACCCACACGCATACTCACACCCACCCACCCATTCGATAGGGTTGATCGTGATACATCGAATAAGTTAAGTCTCATGGGTGGCCTAGCTCGTGCAGTAAATCTTTAGAGAAAAGTTTTTTTCTGTGCTTTTTTCCTATAGGCAAAAATCGATATTTTAGGCTTCATTTTTTCTTGGTCAGCTTTTTAAAAAAATTCGAATACAGCTCATCGAACTGGATCTGACTAACTGTATTCCTAAGTTGGCATACGAAATGCGATGAATCATTTTTGAGAATATTCAAACTTGCTGCTAACTTCCTTCATGTTATGTTGATTTATAATTGCTTGATTTCTTTCTTTATGAACATCCTGCTATACTGAACGAT